CCCTCCTGGTAAAAAAAACAGAAAACAACGAAGAGCTGGGGTTAGGAGGGAAGAGAAGCTTTGAGTGTCTAATATAGACAGTCACGGCAGCGACGAGGCGGGGGGGGGTGGGGGGAGCGAGAGGGCGCAGAGCCGATCCTCCTCCCGCCCTCGGCACTCGGCTCGGCGTCCATCGGCGTCGGGGTTTGAGAGCCCTTGGGAACCAAACCGACTGTGAACAGCGACTGTCCTCGCGCTCCACCAACCCCCGGGGAGCCGCAGACCCGGAGTAAGGCCATTCCACTCGGTCTTCCAAAAAAAACTGTAGAATTGAAAACAAACAACAAACCACCTTTTTCTTAAAAAATATCAGCTCGTGTCGACCCACTTCAAAGGGCTGAAGTTGAAGGTGGGAAGAGACTTGGCTCTGAAACACCAACTAAAAAATCCCTTTCTACACCACTACATTCTTTGTTTCCTTAGCAATCACTGCTAATTAGTATAGAAACCCCTTGCACTACCACAAGGGCAAACTTTAAATTACTTCTTTTTATATATATAAAAAAGAACAGCAGATTCTAACCCACCAGGAACACGGGGAAGAGTCACTTTGTTTCTTTATAAAAAGCATTTAGTGAAAATAAAGATCAGTCCAACATCCGCTCCGAGATCTCCAGAGAAGCATCTGCAGCCGGCGTGGGCCAGGCGTCCCCACAAGGAAACGGCAGCAGAACGCTCCCTCCTTCAGCTGATTATTGTGTCTAAAACCAGACTGCGAATGCCCGGTCCTTCTGCGGGGGCAGAAGCCCGTCCCAGTCACGTAGGAATCTTGGTGCCAAGCCGCCAGGAGCACCGGTGTCGACAGGCTACAATACAGGCGAGATATCAAAAGGGAGCCGAGCTATAAAAACGGGAAGGTTGAGCACGTGGTGCCCGCAGCGGGATGGAGCGCAGGGGTGAGGGGGAGGCAGCAGGCTGGGTTTGGTCCATTTGCTTAAGAAATACTTTAAAAAAAAAAAGCGTGCCCCTTACAAAGATCTCCCTTCACCTGCGCCTCCCCGCCTGGCAAAGGGACCAAAGGGCTCTGTTTAAAAACCGGGGGACAAAGCAATCCCAAAAGCTCCCTGACGTCTCAAAGGCTTCGCACACGCAAAGTCCTCCGAGCAGCACAGCGCGGCACCCAGCTCTCCTCGTTGCTGGCTCGAGGCGACGCAAGACTGAAACCAGAGGCAGCTCTGGCCGCTGGGAATGGCTGCTGGGGGAGAGGAGCTCGTCCACGGGCAGTGCAGCTTCTGCTCCCCCCTTCTGCCTCTCTCACATGGGATACTTCCTGATGGAACACGGAAAAAACCTATTTATTGAAAAAAAAAAAAAACCAACAACTATCTTGGAGGACTAAAAAGAAGCGATATGACTCAATTCAGAAAAACATTTAAATTAAAAACTTGTTTAAAATATGAAATAAAACCACGTTGCTCTGTCACCACTGCCCCGATGAGGCTCTAATGCCCGTTTCCCCCCCGTAACTCCAAAGAGTCGCCCGTTCTCGCAAGGTGTGTGGTGTCGGCACGGTAAGCAGCTAACTCCCTGGAAGGCAGCTCCCTTCTCCAGCGGGCTCCAGCCCACGCCGAGCAGCTCCTCCTCCTCCTCCTCCTCCTCCTGCTGCCGACAGCCGGCTTTCCTCCCGCCAGGCTTCAAAGCAGGGAGGACAGCGGGGACACGGCGGTGGGCTCGGCTGCGAGGAGACTCCCAGGCGTCCGAGGCTGAGCTGTGCTGGCTAGGTCTTTGTTAATACTATCCCAGTAAGCGTCCCAGCCTTCCAGCTTTTACGTTTCTGTCCAGGTAAGTTTTCTTAAAAAAAACATCAGAATAAATCAGCAACGGGGGCTGAACGTTTGCCAGACTCCACAGACCACGCAGAGCACAGAACAATCTGCTTCCATCGCGGCGGCTTCGGTGTTGCTTCACTGTGAAGAGAAAAGAGGGGAGATGCTGGGGAGGAGTAGGCTGCCTTCCTCCGCGGAC